TATTATATCGTTATTTACTTTTCCTACATTGATTTGTATAGAGTTTTCTGTATTAATATATATCTCATTATCATTTTCTTGTGTAAGTGGTCTATTTTAATCTGCACCTTTCTTGTTTTTAATTTTATTCTTGCATATCATATTGTAGTGTTATAGTGATCTGCAAGAGGCCATGAATGCAGCCAGAGACGGGCCTCCTGTGCTGCTATGGGAGAGTATCAAAATCCATCGAACTGTCACACATACCAGTAAGTTAGGATCCGTAGTTAGGCATCATTGTCGTCTGTCGAATGTTTGTTTTATTCTACGTGAGAGTATATAATGTATTCTCCATATCACACGTATGTCATCAGGGATATGTCACGTTGTCACATATATGCTGCTTATTATGGTCGAGGGGTGCTCTGCATGCCATATTTCTTCTCACGAGGTCTACTGTGACACTAGTGGCTGTTTATGATCATATATACGAACGTATATATATAAGGCAGTTTGCTGAGTTTACTGCGAGAGCTACCAGCTTGTGGCAGCTTTACTACTAATGTCTGCCTTATGCTGCGAATTTTGAGTCAAGATTGGGTGATTACTCGGTGCAGAAAAACTATGTTGTATTGGGTGCTGTTGTGAATTTCAACAATAGACTGTCTGTAATTTGTATGGAAGATATGTGCTGATTGATTTGTTGTTTTCAATGGGAGAATGGCCGTATCCACCCCACCAGTGCTGATTATCTATATATTTCTGTAGTATATGTGACCACTCTCATCCCTAGGGAATGTATTGTATGAGCTATGTGCATCACATAAAGACAGCCTATGCTTTTATTTTTATTCACGAGAACACCACTGTTGGTTCTCAAAAGCGTAGAATGTGTGTGTTTTTTTTTTTGAAGTTTCAGAGATATTTGTTATGATTCGTAACGTTAACAGATTCAAGGTAGACTAAATTATTGCTGCTCACACTAGTGTTCCAAATACTGCTGCGTTAATCAATCTGTTACAGATTGCATCAGGGGGTCTCCTATATCGATGTTCATTTTCACACTGAGACTATTCCCCAACAGTCTTGTTAATAGCATGTTCCGCAAATCCATCATGGAGTCGATTTGCTCCCTAAACTCAAAATCTGGTCTGGAGTGGATTCTATTGTTTGCATAGTACAAACTC